CCCCCCCCCCCCCCCCCCCCCCTCCTCCCAAATCTACCCCTTTGTTCTGATTGTCGGATTTTAAACATTCCACCAAATCATTAGTCGCTCCTACCTTTAAGAGCTTATTATTTTTGGATGTTTGTGTGCATATTACTGAGCATTGTAAACTGAAATTGGTGTGTTCAGTTAAAAGGAATAATACTGTCACCGTCACTTTCGATAGCAACGCTCCACTAAGTCCGTCTTTGAGGCACTTCCATATGTTTAACAGAAAATACCAAGAGTTGAGTTGAAGCTAGGAAGAAATGAACAGAATTTTGGATAAAAGAAGTGTGATGACTGAATGTGAAGCAGTGTTGGGCGTACTAGGCAGGAAGCAGTGGTCTAAAAGAACTACTCTTGTGGAGTTAATTATCGTCATTTTGTAGTTCTGTTTATTCGTGGAAAAGCATCTACACATTGTGAGTTATAAAATTGTCCAATGGGAAGTAAGAGTGTGTGGGGGGGGGGTGTGGTGTGGTGTCACTTCGTGCTCTAATTCAAATTTCTCAAATGCCAGGATTTGCCTCCTGAATTTATTCGTGCCCACCACATTGATTTTTTTATGTGGTTGGTCATAACATTTCAGCACGCTTATAAAAGTTGTGTTGTCCAAGGAAGCAGGATGATACAAATTAGCTTGATTTTATTTCGACCGAGGTTTATTTCTCCCTATTTTAGCGCAGTTTGGTTTACGGAGGTTCCTGAAGTCTTGACTCTTTGATAACTTCACTACCATATCTTTTTTTCTCTTTTTTCCGGTCGAGGTGTCTTCAATTTTAATTCCGTTACCTTCTTTACCTTTTTCTAACCTTAATTCGCTTTATTAACTCCTAGATTGGTTTGTTCTAGCCACGAATTAACCTTTACTTTATTCTTATTTCCCATTGATGCCTTATGGCTAAATGAATTTTAGAGCAATCAGCCAATTTCGGCTTTGTGTAATCATAGTCCCTAGATGGGTCTTTTTTGCTGTATATGGAAGGTCTTTACGTCTTCTGTTATCAACCACTCTAGATGGCGATTGTGGAAAGCCTGTAGCGGAGGCTTAGCTCCACGAAGATCTTTATTCAACTCGCTTCCGATGTACACTTATTTGTTGTAGGGAATATAAATATTCTCTCCTTCCACTATCTGCGCAGTTTTCCCATTTTTGAAATGTGCAACAAGTGTGTACTGCTGCGTACACGTTCATTGCGTTCCCAATTTGGGGGCACTAAAAGATAGTGTACGTGGTGGTGATGGTGAATGAGAGAGGATAGATTAGTGACCTGTGTTAGGTATTGTTCCAAGTCCCCTTGAAGGAAATCTTTTCTTTTAGTATTTTTTCGGTGGGTGGGTGGGGGGGGGGAGAGAGATTGGGTTATTGGGAATATCTCTTAAACATCTAGAATTTCCCTTTCTCTTCCTTGACCGATTTTTAATTCGCAATTGGTTTCTAGGTTCCCTTCCTGCATTGTTCTAACCTTGGGCTGTTTACTTTTTTACTCCTTTTAGATTGTTCCACCGATGCAAGGTTCCACAACTAGTGATTCTGATGGCTACGGTAAACTTTCCCAATTGATCCCCTTTTCCCAAATGGGTACCGCTGCAAAGACCACACTGGAAGAGTCACGCCATTATACCACCCTAACCTCCTCAAAGGCACCCACCATTGACCCAATCTACTATAGTGCTGCTCCGGGTTCTACCCAAACTGGTAAGTGGCGTTAGCTGACTGTTAAGACGTCCAGAACCTTACTCTGAATTCTGATTACACGGTGTTCTCAATTTTTGCTAGTCCCTCCAGATATTCCAAAGTTCATTTTCATATTTCACTTCTTCATTTTGGTTAAGTTCATGCCTTCTTGATGGCTAAGTAGAGTTAGGCAGAACTTGCAAAGTACTTTTTTGTTTGCTAGAAACGTGAAGTATCATGGAGTCTCTCTGATGAGAAGCTTACATCGCGATATTCATCTCGATTCTTTTTAGTCTTTTCTGTCTGAGATTTTGAATTGACAAGACTACATCTGTCGTGTTTTTGTCTTACAGTTTTCTACATCAATGTTAGCACAAAAGTTGCTTCTCGTGATGATTTTCAGAGGCATATTTCCTAACAATAGACTAATTTTTGTTCGAATGATGGGTTAAGAAATATCTGATTCGATCTATAAAGCCAACAAGAAGTATTGCGGGAGCCTTTACAATAGAAACAAATTGTGGGTTTTGGAGTGCTTTCACTAACAAATTTAGGAAAGTTTCCCCCTTAACACCTTTGTGTCCTGCTGGGGAGAAACTCAAATTTTGCAATCCCTTAGCCAGCGCTTTTGGTTATCCTTTTGCACCAATGCAAACGGAATCCCTGACCTTAACTGATTAAATGTTAAATAGGATTTTCTTTAATGAGGGAATGGCTTCAGTCAGTAGGTGGTGTGAATGGTATTAAAAATCCGAAGTAGATTTGAGCAGATTTCGGTGTAAGGACATAGTTTCGAGATCAATAGTTGGTCTGTTGCAATTGTGATAGAAGAAATAGCTTTTGTGTTGTGTAATTTCTCTTTTTCTTTTGGAAGGCAGGGAGGTTAGGGGGTTATTTGGGCTGAAATTGGGCAATCTACTTCTAGTCCACAATCTCCATCTGTCCTTAATCGAGTTTAATCCCCTTCCCACTCCACCGCCTCCCCCGCCCCCCTATGTGTATATTTTGTGGTTGCGTGGTGCTGAAATCGATAATGCGTGTGGTTTGATGTGCTGTACTACGCCACTGCTTCATATCAGTGCCCTTGAAAGAGGAATAAATCTGATGCTCCTTTTTCTATATTTTGCCGTCTAGGGTCTATGATAACAGGTGGGGCATCAGATCCTACTAATCCTCCGCCTAGTCCCTTTTCTTCCTATCAACCACTTCTAGGGCCCTCTCCACCCTATCAACAAGGTGAATTCTTTCCATCTGGAAACCACCAGCAACAGCATCTACAACAGTCTTCAGCTTCTGTCGTCTCTTCTTCCATGAATTATTCCATCGGCCACCCACCTCTCCGTCCAATGGTAAGTGGACCAATTGGTAAATTGGCTGGCTGTTAATAGGTGTTCATTGTGAAGTGATTTTCTTTCTGTCTTAGAGTCACGCAAGTCTTCCCGGTGCAACTGGAAATTTCACTTATTCTGATGCCTATCAGTGTAAGTTGGTGGAAAATTTATTTCAGTTTTATATGGGTTTGCGTATGTGTGATATTTGAACTCATTGTTGACCTTAATTTGAACTCGATTCGGTCTGGTCTGACCTCATTCACATTCTCGTGGGTAAGTATTGTGTGAAAGTGAGCTGGATCGATTAGCTTTATGGTTGTGGGATTCTTGAAGTTAGTGCTTAAAGATTAAAAATTTGCAAAATGAAGGGGTTTATAGTATGTGAAAAGTCTATCTTCCTGACAGCTTTTTGGTTTATATAGCTGTGTCTTAAATTTTAAATTCGATGTCCGTTTGAAGTAGAATAGTTGGAATCCCTGATCATCGATTTTGGTTATTGATATTAGCTTTGTCAAGGGAAGGTATTTGCACAATTTCTAATCGCAGGGAAACATCTAACCAATGGTAGACTTGGAATAGTTAAATAAAAGGCTGTTAGTTTTATGTTAGAAATGAGGTACTTGTGCCCTGGGTCTCAAAGTTCATCCTGTTATCTCAACTCGACCTCAAATTAATAGTTCCCTTGTCGCCACTAGCATGTTCAAATTTCGTAGATCTCCCTTTTGCGGTATTCACGCTATAGGCACATCATGTTGAAGGATCCAAAATTCTTGCCCACGATATCAAATGTGCTTCTTGATTTAGCAGATTGGTTTTACGCGACATTAAGTAGTCTACGTGATCTCGACACAATAGAATTGAGGTAGCTGGATTGTTAGTGCAAATTTTAAGCAGTTTTCTCTCAGGATGAGAGAATTAACCACCGTCGTTATTTTCATTACCTAATTAAATAAATAAACTATCAGGGGCTTTGAACTTTCACTTGCATTACAGCTCATCCTGACTATCCGTCGTCTTTCTCAATGACCAGCAATATCTATCCCCCACCTCCGCTACCAAGCTTCAATTCCTCATCACGATCAACTACCAGTGGCTTTGTAAGTAGAACGCCCTACTTTATCAAACTGAATTTTTTTGGCACTTACTCTTTCTATTACTTTCTGTTTTTTTTATTCCAGAACCCATCGCTAGTGTTCCCTGACTCGACTCAGCCTACTTCGGGTTGGTGGTTTTTAAATAAATTTTTTTGGTGTTTCGAGAACGTTATTAATTGTTGACTTATTTTATTTAAGTAGCAAAGATGGATTCGCCTCTTACTGGTAGGAGTATGGTTTCGGCTGCCACTCCCCATCACCAAAGATTTTATGGTCCAGCACCGGATGCAACGCCTTTGCAACACCAACAGTTTATCCCGACGAACCAACTGACACCTCACAGAGCTACTACGTCGCCAAATGCTGTGGCAGCCGCACCTTCAAGTACGGGTAGTGGTACAGCTCAACGTGGACCTAGGAGAACAACAGGCAAACGTCGAAATACTGCATCGATTCCCAGCTGCACCTCCTTTACTCAAGGGACGGATTCTGAAGGGGGTAATTCCCTAGATGGTCGGGAAGATGAGACACCAGAACAGAGGGATGCTAGGGAAAGAAATCGTCGACAAGCAAATAATGCTAGAGAAAGGTGGGATTTTTTTATAGAATGGCTTAAGTCGTTTATATGCTGCAGATTTAGCACATAAGCAATTTCAGTGTAGGACGAGAAATGCACAAAGACGTAGCACTGCTTTTCAATGTTTATCACACTGCACTGGTATGACGATGACATTTCTGACGTATTATCGTGGTAGGCCATGATATAGCAAGATTGAGTACACTTCATTAGTCTCTCGCTCATGAAGGCCAGAGAATAGTGGTGACTGGTCTGTTCTCTGACCACGTCACGGTCAATTTCTTAATGTCGCTACACTGCTGTTAGAGCTTTTTTATACTTCTAGGGTGTCCCTATGTCAGGCCGCGAACTGTTCAATCTGGAATGGTCGGACATCCTATCACTGCATGCAACTAAATTATCAAGCTTATTGTGCCCTGAAGTCTGAAGATTATGAGAAACTGAGTGCATATATTTAGGTTGGGCGTCATTGAGCTGAATTCAAGAATCACTGTAGAGAAAATGACGTTTCACCAAATTTTATGGATTACTTTTTTATGAGCAGATGAGGCTACAACTCATGAGTTTAAATGAAGAACAAATTCCTGGATAGTAGGAATATTTTTCTAATTTTGTCGTTCACTCAAATGGGAGATTTGTCAATATCTAATCTTCGCACAGTGTTTACTTGATTCTTTGTCACTCTGAGCGCCTTCTTGGAAGTGTTTTAAGTATATCCAATTGAGTCGACGATTTCCCTCCTTTTAATTACAGAGTTCGTGTTCGTGATATCAACGATGCTTTCCAGGAATTGGGCAAAATGTGCTCCCAGCATCTGAATTTGGATAGGGCCCAGACGAAGTTAAACATTCTTCAGCAAGCGGTTGTGCTCATTTCACAATTAGAACAAAAAGTTCGAGGTTAGTTCATTAGTTTCTTTGTTTTCTTTTTAAATTTTCTGTTCTCCACTCATATTTTTGATAAATTTTTTTTCTAGAAAAAAATGTGGATCCGAAGCAAGCTTCCTTGAGAACTCGGGTTGAACAGAGGGCTGACGCTCATCCTGTTGCTGCAGGCGTCGAAACTCCTGGTAATTTATATACTTCTGCTGAATGCGAGTATCTTGATAGGCTAATTAAGTATGAAAAATTCATTTATATTCCTAGGAATTCTAACATGAGTCTAGGCACTGAGAACCGCAATATAACAATGTATATAAAATCCATTCGATGAAGAAGTTTTTCAACTTCACGAAGGTTCAAGTTAGGTTGGGTTTAGGTGCGCATGGCTGCAACACTCCTGAGTGAGGAAGTAGACTTTTTAAGATCTCGGTTCATTGAAATGTGTTTGGCTTCAGATGTTGAGGGGCATCATCACATTCTGCTTTAGGAAAAGGTTTAATCGTCATGCATCAGAATGCAATGCAATGTAGAGAATGCTATTTTTTTCGGAGCGCTATAATGAAGTAGAATACATCCAATCTAGTGGATCCAAACCCTCCCCCCTTTCTAGCCCTTCTATGTTACTTGATATTGATATATCACCGTGTAAAGTGTCCTGAATATAATATAAGGCTAATTAAGACAAGGCACACCGTGTTTGTGCGTAAATAGTATGCTAATAATTCTTCACAGCTCATATATCGTTACTCGTTTTGCAGTAAAAGATTTGGCACCGATTGGGTCTTCTATGCCGAGTACTCAAAGATTAGAATACAATTTGGTGTTTACATTAAGCGCCTATTATAAGTTTCTGTTTATATTATAATTAAAGTTCAGTTTGATTCGTCATAGTGGCTCCCTTACTTTCTGTCTATAAATAATAAAAAATGTCATTGAAATACGGCGTTCACGCGTATCTTTTTCTTAATAGGAATGTATGGCTATACGTCGACAGCAGCGCCAAATCAAAATGGTGATTTCTCCTATAGCCCTTATCAACAGCAACACCAAGAATGGATCCCCATTCAAAGTTCGAGTAACTACCTGAACCCTCTTCCAACGTCCTCCGATGGTAGTGACACACTCCCTAGAAAAAGAACTCGTTCAGCCCTCATGACAGCGACGCAGCAGCCATCAACCAGTCACGGAACAGCATCTGGGTCATCTTTGAGGTCTTCAGATGAAGGAGAAAATTTTGTTGCGAATGACGAGGGTGCTTTGGGGAAGGGGGAGGGTTGCTGAGAGCGTCTTTTGTCCCTTCCGATTCTTAATTCCCTCCTCTCTATGGCAGATTATTTGCATTTAAGTGCTACTATATATGTCTAAGTAGCAGTAATCAATCCATGTTTGCGCTTTTAAATTTAAACATACACACACCTGCGAACATTATTTATGTTGGTTTTAGCAGCGCATTTAGTCCCCCAAAATTACGTATTTTAAATTAACGCAGGTAAAATGTAATTATATAAATCAACATCTAGTTTACTTTTTTGTTTCTTTTTTCTCACTGAATTTAAGTAACTGGTTGTTTTGTAATTGTTAAAAATGCTTAGCCCCTGAACAGTAGCTACCCCTTGTGGTCTTCTGCGACGTACTTGTGGATCGTTTTGACGTGGTACTAATGTCGATTGTTATCTGGTAGTTGGTACGTGCCTTTGAGGCCTCGATAAATGCACCAATTGACCAGAGCGAAGTGGTTAAATCTGCCAGACCTGTGCTAGGTAATTAGTGCCAGTATTCACCAGTGGCGTGACCGTGGTGTTAATTTCCCACTTGGGGTTATCAGATCAAGTGGTGCCGAATAGTGGGATGTGTCATCAAGGAAAAGTGGCTAGAACCATTTCAAGAGCAAGACTGGAAATGGTCGCATCAAAATGTGCCGTTGCTTGTTTTTTTGTAAAATTTATTTCTATCAAATGGCAGGCGTTTTGATTGTTATCAATAGCCCTTTAGTTGACTTCAGGCTTCACAGAGTGGAAGGAACATCAAAGTGAAAAAGATTCGAGAGAGGGAGGGGAACAGAAGAGTATTTCAAAGACGAAGGTAGAAAAAAAAGGTGAGATGAGTACTTTGGAAGTGGCAGAATATGAAATACAGTGGGGTGATGGTAGTTTGAAGTCAGGAGTCAACTGCCCATTGATAGACTTTTTGCTGTACGATTATACGTTGCCCAGGGTGCACCACGTGGAGGTAAGTCTATCGAACACCCCTTTTTATAAAATAGCACACGGAGTTATGAGAGTGAGCGTGTATATTCAGTATCAAGTTAGAGATGGGCACCGAAAAGGGCATGGGAATATTCCTTCCAAAAAATGGAAGTTAAGGTCATCGGGCTTTATGGGGTTTGATTTGATGCAGTAATCGTTTGGTAGTGGAATTCTTTCATTCTTGCATTATTCCAATACTAGCAATTACCTATTAGCCAAAAGCAAACATTTACCTTAGTTGTGACACCAAATTTTATTTCTACTTAATTGTGGCATAAAAGTTCTATTGATAGAATTGAGAAGCTCAAACGAGCGCTAAGGTTACACGAGCAATGTAGAATTTCCGATATACTTGTATTCCATTATCTTCTACTAAATTTAGGTCTGAATGTAGGTGCTTTATCACATTCTGTACCTTCTCCTTAATTTAGTACTTTTCGATACACTTGGCGCTCAGGTCTTGCACTCAATATTTCCCACTCTGTACAGTCATCTTTTACTATTCCTTCCTCTTTCCCCTTCGTTGCAATTACGTTGTCTAGTTTTACCTCACACCTCGTTTCGTCGCACCCTGTTCGATTAATTAACTAACTTTTGTCTCTTCCTCAGAATTACGATATTGATCTTCTATGCTCTCCATTCTCCTCTCAATTCTTGGGATCTTGGTTTAGAAAAGCATTTTTAATGGTGTGATGTCTTAAGTGGGCACTCTGGCCGCAAAATAATTTGAAGAACTCCTACTGCCCCCCCCCCCCTCCAATTGATTAGGCACAGCCTACTTGTCGCCTTTTTATTTTTGTAAGACGATGATTGTTTTGGTTTTAACTGGGGTCTGACCGGGGGAAGGGCTTAGGTAAAATAATTGGAAATATCTCGTAGGGTAGCTTTCTTTCTTAACTTGGTTTGGTACATCTAGAGCAGTGCGTCTTACTAAGAGTATATGTGAACGACAAGATGAGTAGGCTAATGATGAGGATGCTATGATAATCTGAGAGATCATCAAGTGTTAACAGTGCTAGTGCTGATCAAAGTTCAGTTTTTCTCAGTTAATAATGAATGACAGTTACTGTGTACCTTCACATTGACAGATATACCGAGTTCGTGGCAGACACGTTTTCGAAAAGTTAGCAGTATGAGACTGGATAGTCACCAGTTGCAGCAAGATAGAAGTTGAATTAAATAGAGTAAGATGATTGACCACTACAAGCAGGAGGTAGTGCTACACATTGGCAATAACTTGAAGCAATATATGAGGTCGCTGACAAGTGCATAAATTAAGCCATTTCAATAGCAGTCAATAAGCTCTTACTCATAGGAAAATAAGTATCGTTACTAACACCGATATCTTACTATAGTTTAGATCGTCTGACCCGTTAGAAATTCGGAGAATGAAATAATGGTTCTTCGAAATTAAAAACGTTTTTTAATGTTCATTCGCCAATAGGAGCACCACACTATAAAAGCATAAAATTAGCAAATACGGCTTTCGTGTGAAAATACTTTATTGCATGAGCAATATTTTAGTCTAACCAGAAAAAACTGAAACAAAAAAGATGTGATCAGACAACTGGTAAATTTTCTGATTTAAGCCAAAATCCTTGATAGATTTATTAATTAGTACCTTGAGAACCGACGCATAGATAATGCAGTCAATCAGGGATCCTAGAGCCAATAATGTATTCGCCAGTTCAGATAAATACGCTTTGACAGACAAAATGGGGACAATAGCCTATAAGTGTACTTAGAAGCCATATAGACACGAACTATAAGTTACCAAATTTTGAGATAAGAGTAATAATTGATTTAGAACAAATTGTTTTAGACTGTAATGGTATAGCATATTTGTAAATTAAATCAATTTACTAGTACATATTTAGATAGTCTGAAGCCGGGGAGAATCAAATCTATATTTCCTTTTCCATTCTGAAAGCATCGACTTTTTTCTTAAAATTGGAATTTGTAAAGAATTCTTTATTTGTTCATTAAAAATGAATTAATAATTACCGGCTGCATAGGCTCTAACATCCTTCGGTTTGGTTTCAAAAACCTCTCTGAAACAAGTTAGAAGTGATTAAATAACGGTACCTAATAAACAAGTTTATCATGATGAAGACCTCAGGGTGACTTCTCAGATATAGCTCATTGGCTTTCCTTGTTTGAATCTTCCATCATAAAAAACTAGAAGATAATTTACCTTAACTAAATTAAGAGCAGCCTGTTGATTTTCACTTAGAGCTCCGATATCGTTAAGGCGACTCGAATCGAAGTTTAACGTGCTTATAGGAGGATCTTGCTTAGGCCTATTATGGTTCATCTGTAAACAAATTGTGAAAGTTTCATGTAGAGATGTATAATTAAGTGCTTGCACAAGACGATATGAGTGGCTTATAACACAGGGACAATAAAACGAATGTTAGTCCATTTACTTAAACTTAATAGTTCCACAAATATTGTATCAATAAGAAATAGCGATATTACATAGGCATCATTTAAGCCAATTAATAACGCATCACAGCAACATTAATTGTACAGTATAAATTAAATAATGTATCTAGGTTACACAATTGGCGACCTTTAAAAGCTGTGAATGGAAAATCGTGAAAACAATTTTATTGACAAAATTTCGCGCAATTTTAATTTCAATCTCTACATGATTTGACATAAATAAATATAATCCGGTTAAATTCTTTACATGTGTTCAGAATACTTATTAATAGAATCATTCTAAAATTCCGGGTTCTATTTTTTGAGAATTCATACTTTCTTCACTCTGCATGGAATATAAGGTTAATTAAGTTTACAACGATGACAGTTTATCTGATACTTACGCTTTTAAAAAATTTTTGTTTCAACAAATATCTGGTCTAAGTATTAGCCAATATTTTTCAGTCCACTAACTGCTTGCACACGACGATCGGAAATTGAATTAATACCTATTATTAAAGAAACCCCATTCTAGAATACATTTGAGAGGATTACTATGATTATTTTAACTCCAAACGCACCTTAAATTGTCTCCGATTCAATGTAAATAGGTCATAGCATTTTCAACACAACAGTTTCAATCTATTTACATAATGTTTCCGACTGATATATATATATATATATATATATATATATAAAGACGACTACTAAATTTATATATCTGACGTATTACACACACTAATGGTTGCAAATCACATTGAACGTTAAAGTACATTTTCAATATACCGCTATTTTAAGTATATGACAAATATATTCAATTTTAATTTGTGAACGGTACAAGCATTCTTTTAGTATTTCGACAAATATATTTCCAAGCAAGGGCGCACGAAATTCTGACATATTTTTTGCATTAATAAAGTATTAGAATAGTAATGTTAAAAAGAAAAGAAATCACAGCTGTAACTCTACTGAAAAAGTTCTTGTCATAGCTAATATGCTATTACTAATTTGCTCAATAAAAGGATAGAAAAGTTAGATTTTATCAATGTACTTGCCCTCATAATTGATGCAAATCACTCTCACTCTTTAAGATGAATCATGGGATATCTTTACATAATTTCAGAAATTTATCCACACGGTTTTACATATGTGGCTTATAATTTTTTGACATTTTTATGATTAAACTTTAAGGTATTCTTATCTTTAGGAGTTCGTAAGTTATTATATTTGTTTAGTTTCATCGATAACTTCTTCCATTTTGCTTCATTTGATGCATTACTGCGTGAATTTGCATTTAAGAAAGAATTCAAATAATTCCCAGTTAGAGCCAATTTTAGTACCCCTTAAAACTTAACCTAATTAACGTATTTAGAACTGCAAATGTTGGCCTTTGAGAAATAATTTCTTCATATTCCTTACATTATTTTGAAAGAGGATTCATTTAATAACCTTTATTTAGAAGATGCCGAATAGAACTCAATTTACTATAATTAAAATAATTAGTATAATTGACAATTTGACAAAAAGCTCTCAGATGAGAATTCTCATCTTTGAAAAGCCGGTTGACTTTCAAGTCAAGACCAAGCGTGAATTACGAGTATTGATCAAAATAATTATTGCACATGGTGCAGTCGCCGTTAAAGAATAACCAATCGGATTCAACACGGCTGTTTACTCAGGCATTGGTTAGTTCGTCTCGATGTCATTTAAATGGAAAGCTGTCGTGGGTAAACTTCAACACTTAATTCGGTAAATAGTAAGTTAAAATTTGGGATGTAGCATTTCATTAATCAATCAATGCCACAAGCTATGCTTGGGTTTATTTATGCTTTTTAAAAATATATAATCGCATTTAGTCATAAAAGAATATTTAACTCTCACCATGTAGCATTAGCATTATTTTACTTCCCAGTGTCTTCTTATCCTTACATCTTCAATAAAATTATCGCCTATTTGATCGATGAACATTCACTGTAAATAATATTCGTTCGATCTAATTTAACTTTTTAACAAAGCTACCAAAAAGCAACACTTAAAACCGAATACTTTATCCCAATTACATAATTTATTTTTAGTTAGTTATGTTGGATATATCTACCAATGGACAACTTGACATAGTCTAATAAGTGCTTTGAAAAATATCGAATTCTTTGACATCTCTTTTCAAATATTAGTTAAAGTAAGAAAAAATCTTGTAATTAGATGCACAGTTAACCAGACGTCTCTGAATACTTTGTCAAAATTTGAAATAAACGGCTCTATTTTCACAGCTTTCTAGGTTTGATGGATGCCAAGAAGCGCTAGACGCACTTTATTTCATGCGTTTTCAAGCATTCGCAAGCCAGGTCCTAAGTCTAATAAACACACGCCTGAAAATCTATTAACTTTAAATAGAAATTTGCAGTAGCTTCATTCTATACACTTTGGTTGCCATTTTAATAAAGTATCTTTTTCTGAAATAATAATTAAAGCAAATGCTCATTACTTCTATGTACGTTAAGTATAATTATTTCCATTTGAGTAACTAGTGCTTTCTAAAGAGAAACATGGCTTTAGTGAAATCACTTCTCTACTTACACTAATGACGTAGATTTTAACTTCTGGAGCCAGCTATCAGTCTTTTAAGCATTTTCGTTAAGTTATTTACACTGACTGGTTAAACAAAATAAAAACAAATTTGTTTTTTAGAATGTTCTTTGAAATGGATTATCCATTCACTCAAAGAGAAGGAGATAGCACTGAAAACAACAGGAACATTGATGCAAAATCTACAAGAAATACGACTAAAAGGTAAATTCATCTTAAATGGTTGATTGTCATAGGTTCTAGTATTTTCTAAAACTGTTTCCATTTTAGAAAAATGCCTCGTCAACGGAGTAAATCTCTTGGTAAATTCTTATTTCATGGAAAAAATTCAACGAATCAAGAGGCCGTTTTTTGATCCATGGAAAACTGAATAGCTTCATTGTTCGTTACTACCTTTGAGAAATTTTGGCTTTGTTTAAGCTGACTCCTCAGAGGCGAGGGAAACAAAAATGACTCTCACGTGTCTTAATATCCCAAGGCCTAAAATTTCGTAAAGAGGATAAAACTCTGCCATAGCGGAACTGTAGACGTGAAAATTAAAATCCATATTAGGATTAATGGGTGGTGGGGGNGGGGGGTGGATGTGAAATCCATTAAATAAGCTTAGTTAGCATAGACAATTGGATATGCTCACCTCAAAGGTACTCGCAACCCTCTGTTGGCCATAAGTAACGAATATTTTTATCAGGTATTATTCGAATTTGCTTGTTTGAGTTAGTTAATGTTAGTGGTTTGGTAATTATTGAGAATCGGAGACTATTTTTCAAGATATCCTCTTGATATGGGAGGTTAAAATTATTCTCATTAGGAGTCTTAATGTCATCGGATGCTTCAACGCTTTTGATGTACATATGCAAATTTTATTGAACAAATGATTGATTATGGCGATTTTTATTTATTAAGATGGCTTCTATGGAGAAGTAACTCTTTGATTAAGAAAATACTTAATAACCATGAATCCAGACTACACAGGATTTGAACCTCCAGGCTTCTGGGTACTTTTAGGTTCAATTTGTCTCAATTTATGTTCAGAGAGTCAATCTGAACATAACAAAGCGATGAGGACTTCCGCATTCGATCCAAACACAAAGTAATTTAATAAAACGGTGAACAGGTTCTGAGTAAAAGCAACAACAGCAAAAATACCTTCAATCCATGGGGCCTACTTTCATTGGCCATGTCCAAAGTATTCAGAATTAAGCAGCTACTTGTCCAAGTACCAAAATATACCCAAAATTTTATATAAACTGCCGATTTTAATTTTAGGGACAATTATTGGTAACTGGCTCGTGATTGGTTCCTTCTTTTTTCTCTTCCAACGCAAAATTCCCTGTTGATATTAATACTCATCGCATATTTTTCTCCTAACTTCAGTGCGGTGAATATTGAAATTGTTTAGGGTTAGATGAAGCATGAAACAACTCTTTCTTGATTTGGAATTAATAGTTAGTTATGGCCTCAGATTAAAACATTAAATACCAGTTCAACCGTTTAGTACTAAAATAAATTTTTAAACGTTAAAGTGACTGAGAATTTAACAATAATTTTTCATTCTAGGCTCACAATCTCCACCAAGAAAATCGGGTCACCAGACTCCAATCTCAAAATTTCCAGAATTGGTGCATGATATCGCCTACTTATTAATTATCAAAAAGGAAATAATTTATCGAATTCCTCTGATTCTAGATGTTACGCGAGTAGAGGAAAGCATCCGTGATAAAAACGTGAGTTTGTAGCAATGAATCTCAGTAAATAATAAAAAAATAAATCTAATAAGGAAGTAAGTCCATAAAATTTTCAAGAAACTAAAATAAATTTAATTTAAACCATTTTAGATGAAAGTACCTTCCAAATATTATGTAAAGTTGCCTTAATTTGAAATATTTTTAAGACAAAACTTAAATCAACATTGTAAATGCTTTATGAGAAGCATATATTTTCAAGAGGAGAGAAAAATGATTCATCCTTTAACAGCTTTATTAACTTTGTCATTACTTAATGATATTAAACAAGTAATATGGTAAAGCGATAACAATACATTATTTAATTTTCTCAAAATATTATATCAATTTAAAAATTGCCATTTAATTTATTTTTTGGTCCGCAGGCACATGAAGTAAGTCAAAAAATTTACGTTAAATTAATTAAAATGCAAATATGAATTTCAAGATATTTGTAAATTTTGGCAAATGAACCTCTGAATTTCATTTACATTTATTCGGGCAAAGTGTCAAGTTAGAAATTATGAAATGCTCCATGTATTCGTCACGTGGACCGAATTCTTAAAATACCCAAAACAATCTTAATAAAACAGCCAGAAAGTTCAATATTGACCCCGTCTCCATTTACGAGAGAGTGTAGGGAAGTAATCAATTAAATAAAACTAAAGCAAATTGATTAAACCAATGAGTACAAAGATAAGCTAATCCAAAAATATATATTGTCCTTATTATTTTAATTGAATTGTCGGTGTTTTGCTTTCTTATAAAGGATCCGAATGAGAGAAATCAGACTCCTCCTGAGACTAATGAGAATGAATTCTGTGTAATGCTGACAAGCAACGCTGCAAAAAATATTGAAATTTCAATAAAGAAAATTTTTGGTCGATGCGATTGGCTAAAAATTGTGGAGAAATGTCCGGTTCCACCCCAAGTCAAAAAGGGTAAGTTCTCTTTTAGCTGTAAATTTCTTCCACAGTATTTCAGGAATGAGAGATGACCGACTAGACCTCTTACATGTTGAAGAAATTCAACATCAGAATACAAAATCAGGGCTTAGAAGTACTTGTTCCACATTCACTGGCTACTTCACTTCAAATCCCGAGTATAGCGCTACTGGAGCGACGGTTAACGTTCAAATTTACAAAGTCACTGATCAGTGACGAATTAATAACCAAATTAGCCAAATTTTGAGATTAGCAGAATTTGAGTTTTCACCAGGAAAATTAAATGAAACTTCACTTCCGCCTATGATTAGTATTGTAAAAGACTATCAGCCAAATTACTATTCATGTTAAAGAAAATATTTCAAAGGTGAAATTTACGCCAAAACATGAATGCTAATGAACCAATAAACTGGAATATTTTTCTACTCACGTTGACACAAATCAATTAGCGGTCAATAATCAATAGGGAAGATGAAGTGAGTCATTCGAACGTTGTGAAGTGAATGTGAAAGCGGGTTTGCCTGGATAAATATGGAACATACAAAAAAACTGCAGTTTGGAGAAGCCTGAAGATGGATTAAAATGACCTTGTAGATAAGTCGGAAAAATTTTCAAGTTCATAAAAAAATGCGTGATGTATAGAAGGATACTCCTATGAGAAATTAGTCACCAACCATTGCGCCAAAGGGAACCCACCTCTGCACCACGAATATGCCAGAGGCTGCAATTACACCTGAAAGATTGCCTAGCAACAAGAACTTGTATAACAACCTAGCCACTAATTAAGTTGCTCAGTGGTTAGTTAGTCCATTTGGTAAAATATTCATGAATTAAAATGGAACCGATTGAACAGAACTGAGTTGCAAGGCATCAACAAACAATGACTTTGCAACAAAAACATGTGTCATCTGGTTGAAATTGCGTTGGTCAATTTTTTATTCGCATTGGTACAAACTTTTCTGTTTAATTTATAAGAAATTTCAGGAAGATCTCGTTTAAGGGATGTTACCCCTTCACACTGTGTAAGGAAGAATTGGTTCAAAGTTATGCTCTTCGTTATAAATTTTTAAGAGCCAACAGTTCCTCATATTGAGCACATATTACCATAGTATTCATTTTAATCTTTTAAGAAATCTCGTTTTGAAACTCATTAAGTGAATATGCAAACCGACTTTAGAGCGTATGAATTATAGTTGCACAGATATTTCTTTCGATCAATTCACTATATGAACACTCCATGGAATAAAACTATAAACTGTGAAAAAATTTAATTTTTAATCGCCAAAATCGATGGTTTCAGTTGTCATTAGAACGGAAAACGTGCTGTTACTTTCTAAGTGTTGACATGAGCGTTCAATAGCATTGCCCTAAGTGTGATAATTAGTGATGATCTGACAGGAGACATAAAAGATGGATTCCAATGTGTTCATATCTTAGCAGGAGAATTACTGGCACTTCAGATAGTGATCAAATGTTAGCCAGAACAAATCCCGCTTTCACGAATCAAAAGCACAAAAAAACATTATTAAAAATTGGAGGAAGTTTGGTGACAAATCTTGAAAAATGGACGAGGCGTTTAACTAACCTTGACGTTCAATGAAATTCCCAGAATCAACATAAAATACTCTATAAGTAGCATATGTGCTGGCGAACAAATGAGTTTAAATGTTGTCAATTACCTATTAGTCATTGATCTGAAAGATTGTTTATTATACCATCACAACTTAGACGTCTGATTACTAAATTAAGTAATGGCATCAGTTTAGAGGAGCATTTTTAAATAATTGTTATAAAAAGGTGAGAATTAAAATGGCGCCATGTAAAAATTAGTTGAGTGTGTGTGTGTGTGTGGAAAGAGATGACTTCTTTGATTAGAGGAAACACGCATCTTGGGCTAGGGGATGGTATCACTGAGCCCCTCTGGTAGGCAGCTCGAATTCCGCCAACCTCTTTGTTAACCAAATTTCATCCGTGCGATAGACTGTTCCGCCTGAGACCTCTGATTTTGTAGACGATCGTGCTAACTGCTGCACCACTAACGAACGCGTACATTTTTTAATATTTGTTGCTGGCCGTAATGCTAATAGTGTTAAGCTGTTGAATAATAACCCGGGGTTGCTAAGAACACACCATATAGGGACTTGACTGTAAGTTTCAACGTATCCAAATTGGAAGTCTGGATGGTGCTTAAATTCATCTCTTCGGTTGATATAGAAGTGACAGCGAGTTTAGGCGTTTGCTAACGACAGAGTATGAACGGAGAGTCAGGGAGTGAGTTCTATAAAACGTACTGGACCATAAAAAATGGGCAGCATTTTTGAAGCACAACTCTTCAATGAAGGTAATTATTTCCAAATAGGTCTGCAAGTGAACCCAAATACGCCAAAAGACAACCCAGATTCAAAAAGGCGCTTAGATCGAGCAGAGTCCAGCCAACCACCTAAACGTCCTCTAACGGTAAAATTTAATTATTTTTTTCTGAAAGTCAAAAAATGTGCCATTTTTTAATTGAATATCATTTTTTTTGCCATAACAGTACTCAAGGCCCGCATCGAATGGTCATCCAACGACCTCACTTCATTCTTCTGGCAAGTTGTTTGAATCTAAATGGGGGCCATTTTATTTCGAGCTTTGTGCTAAACATATTGTTTAATTGAGGCATACATTAAACAACATTTTCTTCATGTATTTCTTCAGATCTGACGTCTACCTGTGAAAGTAACCGTGTCGGTAGCATTCAACTCTCAAATAAGCAAGGTGAGGGCTCTATTTGCATTTGAATGAAGCGGTCTGTGCTGTATTCACTAAGCCAACCAAATATATTATGCCATCTCGATTTTTTTACATGTCCCCTCAGTAAAGTTCCATCAACAAGATTTCGAAGAGTTGCAACACATCTGGGATATTTAAAAATTCCTTAACACTGGAACCAGAAAATTAGCTAAGCAAACCCCTTCATTTGTGAATTCGAATGAACTTTATTCCATATTCTTTTTAAAATATCGTGGTAGGTAAATTGGCAACCTCCAAGTAAGCCGGCGGATTTGATGTTTTAAATAGCATCAGATCTTTTAAAAAATCAATCCGCTAAAAGCGAGATGGCTAATCATCGGACTATTCCCCACAGGGTTGTGGAAGCATAGGGTTAACTCGGCGGTTTCCCGAGAACTGGAACCCTCACAGTAGATTTCATCTTGTGATTGCTGTGAAAGACCACCTCGGTTCTGTTTTATCAAAACGCCTTGAAAATTATCAGCGTGTAACAGAGAAAAAACGAGACGCAAATTCATGGTAGGGGAAAATACAACAAATAAGTCGTTAGTGCTACTTTTATTTCATGCCAAAATAGGCCAGCAGCCTTTTCGTGTCTGAAAATGTAGTACTTAACACAGATACAACTCTAAGAGGAGGTTCCCAATTTTGCACCTCACTAATTGGGACACAACATTAGAAGGATTCGAAAAATATACATGACTAAATGTCATTCCCAAACTTTAACATTATCTTTACAGTTTTATTGCCTTTATGTCTTTTGATCAAAGCTGCATTTCCTTTCCCACAATTCCACAATATGTGTTTCTATGCACGAAGTAGCTTATCGTTTATGGTAGCTTAATTGATGAATGATTAATGACTTGCATTCAATTAAAAATGTTTATAGCTTCTAGGTCAAACTCCTCTGTTGAGTCGAATGGAGCAAAGACGCCTTCAGATAGAATCCACCAGCCAACTGCATGGACAGTAAGTGTAATGTTGAAAGATATCTTTCATTTGTTTCAAGCTTTCGTTCATTCTTATTTGGTCACTTTTTCAAAAAAAGCAAAGTCGACAGGTGGTGGCAAAAAGTGTAAAACCTCCTCAACAACCAATAAAGCCCAATCAGAACAGCAAAGTGGTGCTTAGAAATTCCATATCCGAAATTTATGCCGACCAGAAACGACTGGGCTACGCTTTACTACCAAACCCGTTCGTTGATTATACTGCTAAAAGTAGCGAAATGTGATCTTTTTATTATTTTTTTCTAATACTGTTGCTATTTCTGGTTATTAGAAAAATACCAGCAACAATTGACCTTACAGAAAATGGTGACAAATCACGATTATTGGCGCCTTCAGATTTCATAAGCCAACCCCCAATGCTCCTTCCTCTTAATTCTGGTATTCCTTCTGTAACCTATACTTCATTTCCAATATTCAAAGCACAATGCCAAACCTACCAACCACAACAACCAGGTATCCGCCCCATTAATGAATGGAATTTCGGCTTACCCATTTCACTTACCAAATTCCCACCTTCTGTTATGACAGAATCTACGGAGGTAAGCGTGCTTTAACCAAAAACAAACCACGTTGATTTAGCTTCCAATGGATCTTTCAAATGCATCATCTTCACAAACTTCAAAACCAATGGATTACCAAGAAAGTGAGTTTACAAGGATTCAAATGCTTTAAAATAGCTAAGACACATTGAGACCGTGATAGTTCGAAATTGTACACGTGCGCAATGATTCACAAAAGCACAAACTATAAAGTGTAGCCAACTTAGACATGAAATATGACGTCTAGACGAATAACCGAAACGCAATTATTTTGTTCAAATTCATAGGTGATGTAATCAATCTGACAAAACCGAAAAAGTCCATCTTTCAACAGGAGAGTGTAGCTTTGAATTGTGGACGATATTGGAAATGTGACCTCTGTGACCAATCTTTTGAGACAGAGTGGAACCTCCATGAGCACTATGGAAGTAAGACTCATGTCTGTAAGAGCCTAGAGAGTGTGGACGACTCGGAAAGCCTTCAAAAACGAATTAAAAGCCGGGACGTATGCTCAGAAGCACTCGTCAACAGGAACACAGGAAGGTTGCTGCTAGATGTTGTTAATAAGTACATCAAAACGAACAACAATTTTAACCTAAGGGAAGTCAAAACCACTTGAAATTTCACCTTCATCCCTATTTGATATATATTATGTATGAAGTTATTTTGCGACTAATTTTTTTCACCTAAAATATCAATATAATATTGCATATTTTAATCACTTGATCTCAATACCTTATTAGGATAACAAGTAATTGTTAAGTCACGTTAATTAGATTTATACTGCTGAAAAGTACTTTTATCAAATTCACTTAATACCATCTTTGAGATAATTAGGATTAGAGTGGCACCACTACCCGATATTTATGCTAGGACATCTCCAGATATATGTGTTAAAAATGAAAGACTAAGTAGGTGCTAACAAATGGACCTCCACCTCCACAAAACAGCGCCAATTTCAAAAAGAAGCTCTAGTCAGATAAAACAAGAGGCTTTAAATGACAAAGAAGCTTCAATGGAAATTGGATTATACTTACTTAACAACTGAAACAGTCAAATTTCGCCTCTTCATTTCCAACTATTCCTTATTATTATTCACTATATAAGGGATGCAAAGTAAGTAGCAGCATTCTTCAAAAATTACCAATTAGTCAAACAATAAAAATATTTGTTATTAGCAATATTCTGAATTGCAGAACGGGGCTTCAGTGGAGGATTATAAACGAATCGTTAAATTTCTAATTCACTTTCAATCCCAATTCTTGATAGATTTGCGATGAAGCACCAAGGTTCTGTTCTTATAAACATAAATGAATATAAACAGGATTAAGAAAACAACTATAATAGCTATTATTTAAACAGTATTCTTAATACCAGGAATGACCAATATCCCTTTCAATAGTGGAATAGTTAATCCCCCCTTCTCACCGTGAGGCTTGAGAATTTCCAAGTCGGACTTCGTCAGACATATACTACATATTACCCGAAGAAGTATCAAGACTATTGATCTGTGGAATCCACCTTAGGGGTGAGAAATAGAGTTGAAATTAAATATGTGTACATGATGCTTGCTTGAGTACCATGCGAAATCTAACTCAATCCAATTGAAATGATGTTGAAGCGTACAAGCTTTAAGTAAGCGGTGAGTATACAAATAAATACATAATTAAATCTAATTTTTATATCACTCACAAATGAATTGCTGCATTTCAATAATATGGAGTGGAGCCTTGGTACAAGGTAGTATCCAGTAGTTTTGATACTCTAAATAGAACACTTGAAAAACTGAAGACGAATTAGTTACTTTGACAATTGATTAAATGGTTTGTGTTCTCCGATGCATTCACATAGCGATAAAATCTATTTCAGACCAATTTAATTAATCTACTAGGCAGATAAGTGTTCTTAGTTTAAAGTTGTATTGAGGTTAGAAAATTAAAAACTTTCCTTTATTTGAGCTTAGGTGAATATCAACCTCCAAATGGCCCAAGGCTGGGAAATAAAACGAAGTCCAGTTTGGAAGTCCATTCAAACTATTAATTGAAAAAAGGATCTTATAGATTGTCCTATTTGGGGTGTTTAAAAGATACACTAACTTTTTTAACAATTTATACCTATTCTCAACGCTACTTTACTAAAGCCAAAGCGGATCTTAGAAATGACGATGTGTGATAGTAATGAATGATATAGTATGACGCAGGGCATAACTTTCCATTTTGAAGTATCCACTATTAACTCTATAATGCTCTTCACATCATTGCTAATTGGAAGTTGGGGATCCAACTATTCAACGGACTAAGCACCAATGGACATATCTATTGCCCTAGAAAAGGTCGCGTTCGGCTTACGCTTTACTATACTATTATTAACTCCGCTTGCCTAACTTTAGTTTATGTTGTCATCAACATTCAGTAGAAAAGACACTATCGAATGAGCTACTTCAAATGATTTTGGGATTCAATTTGTTGACTATTTATTTAATAGACAAATCTTAACTTTTATTTTCATGATTAAAAATTCATCCTTTGCTCCACTGCTTGGTAATCAGACTTTTGTCCACAATATCCAGTGCATATTTTCTGAATGATTTGATTAGGCTTCAGCCAAATAGACGCATTGAAAATTCATCTAAGTTTCTTTAATTTTGGGAGTGCTTTTAATTTATATGGTTCTGGTAAGTTACCCTTTAGATTTTAACGTTTATTTGAGTTGTTTTCCATTGTTTCATTTGGAGAATAGTTGTTTGCCAAGCAGATGCCTGGTTCTCTCTTCATCGTACTCCAAATATTCCGCCTCAATTTTTTGTTCCGTTTTTCATAACCAGCTTTCTATAACTATCTCAAGTTTTAATATTTGCTGCCTACCAACTTCTACTGAACCCTCAACTCTAGTTTTTGGATCTCTAAAGAATTTGGTAGACCACTACTTAATGATGCTTGTCACTCTTCGCTTCAACAACTAAGGGTTCCCATAAAGTCTCCCCCCTTCCTTCACTCAATGACTCCAAAAAATTTGTGGCTCTGGAAGAATACTTGGGTTCAATAATCTCAAGCCATTTTGGTCTTTAAAATCCCAGGCTAAGTAAAAACTTACAGGTTTTCAGATTGATATTGACAAATTTCACCAAATAATGCACTAAATATTTATTTTATTGAAAGCTGCAATTGCCTCTCCTCCAGTGGCATATTTAATGCCACCATTAAAACCAACCGACTAAGAAACATATCACCAATCAGAACAAACTGCATAATTAAGTATGTATTGTTATAGACATACCCTACTAACTTCTCCAAGACCTTTGTATTCAGAATTTCAACTAAATAGCAGTCCTATAATACACATGCCTATCGATTTCTTATCTAGTAATTATATGGATAGCGCAAAGTTAACACGTGGTTGCCAGGCAGTCGTACGTGTCAATTTAAATAGCCTCGGAATTTCAAAAGATTCATTTTAATTTAGTAAGAAACTTCTCATGGTTACCTTGTAAAATCATTTTTGTTTTCTAAATATGTTTAATTTTTCATCTCCTTATGTGATGCGCCCATAATGCGGTGAGTCGTGGCAGAATTAAGTGGATCTTACGTTCATATTTTTACGCACGTATCACCTCTAGCTTAAGATATAAACAGGAAGGCATAGTTTACATTATGAAGGCCGATGGTTTCCGTTGAATTATAAACAAGTGTGAAAGCTGCATGCAATGGTTGGATTCCTAATTTAATTGGTAGGTAAATTGACATAAATTTCTATGATAAGCAGTTAGTAGAGTTTTGGAATCTAGTATACTAAGATGAGATATAGTCTTGGTTAGCTTGGTAGCCATGGGGAGATTAAGAAAGATGAACCCAAAGCAGGGCAAAATGTCAAAGACCTTTCGTGACCATTTCACGTTTGATATATCTCACCAGGTTCCATTCATATGATTATATTGTTCACAGATGCATACTGTCTGTCTGAAAAATTGTGACTCAGTCTGCAGCGTTGTAATTAATTTCGTCCCACAATGCAAAGCTAGTTTAGTAGTCCTTAGCAAACAATGAAACTGACTGTTTATCTCAAACGTCGTTATTTACAATAGTTTGGCATAAATATTTACTCTTAGTCCAAGTATAAAAAAATCGGTGAAATATGTAGAACTTACTAAAAGAATTATTGTAAAGCAATAAAAAGATTAATTTTAAACTTGACATTCAAAAATTGTTTGTTATGAAATACTCTCAGGGTTTAATGATGCGAGGTGGCCATGTTTATGGTCGTCGTTCTACGCCAACTGAAGGTACTCCAAGACCAAAAAACCGAACAAAGTTAGGCCTGAGCAATAGGAAGTTTCACATTGAAACTCTGAATTTTAGAATGCAAATGAAGTGTAACCCCTAACACTAAATTTCTTTAGCAACTTATTATCTACCCCTTTCATCTTTGGCAGTGTCTTCATTTATACACTTTCTACTGAATACAGCTACAATTTTGGTAATGGACCACAAAAAATTTGAAAAAAGCAAATGTACTTAAATATGAAGGAGCGTTGAAGTAATGAGAAAAATATGCTGAGATAATTTAATTAAAAGAAGCTTTTAAGTTTCCCTTAGCAACTCACAATGATTGGAAAATAAATAGTGCACTTGAGGTGACACACACTACATTTTAAAAATCTACTAGTTGTGAAATTCTTGTCGTTTTTGGGCGAATTAAATAACCTTTTTTGTTTTTAAGTGGAATTCGGTTTTGTTGAAACTTAGCGGTGTAATTTTAAATTTGAAAATACTGCTTAGTAATGTGAAAAATGTCATGTAGCTTTATACCACTAAATATCCTCATTTTGGCTCATGAAATTAGTATACACATATTCTTATACTTTAACAAGTTTAAATGTATTAGTATTTTTTTCAAAAAGCTAAAATATATAAATACAGCTATTCCTAATTAAAATTTCAATATTATTTTTAGCAAAATAAAAATTAGAGATGGCTCTTCTATGATTATTGAAGCGGATTATGTTCATAAGATAAATATGATATAGCACAGCACTTCAGCTTAAGGTATTGTGGTATTGCTCGCGCTCAAAAAGTTCATTTAAAAGTTTGAAATACTGGTATTGTATGTCTAAGTAGTTAGCAAAATAATCACATTTACCCGAATCAAAGACTCTTTGAACAGATTGTCAACGTCGCTATATTAACAATAACCGTTCAAATGCTTCCCCTAATAGATAAGTGGCGAGACTTCGAGGATTGGCTTCAGTGTCGGTTAAGGTGCAGTTGTGCAATAGAAATCACGTGATTTCAAAAAGTCACTCATTCGAATTAATTTTGGTGAACACATAAGTACGCACACCTCTCGAAAGTTAACGCTTAGGCAATAATGAAAAATACTTATCTTCGTATTAATTAATAAATCAATACCATACGATGCAATGCAGTAATTTTGTGGACACAATAATAAAGAAATTGAAAAATCGATAAATATCACATTTTGTTTTAATTTATTGCAGTCCTATCAACATTTTCAATAATTAATTTGATACTCTTTAACCAGACAAGTGTATCAACTGCCATGTGCCGTTGCATTGTGGTGAATTCTGTTAGAACGAAGCTACCATTTATAAACGGTAAAAAA